ATCTAACCGACCGTACTCAATGCGTCAGGTTGGGTAGTACTGTCTCTGACCCTGTCACCTTGGAGAAGGGAGTTCCACAGGGCTCTATCTTGGGGCCCTTGCTCTTTTTATTATATGTAAACAATATTTGTAATCAGATGCAATTTTCTACCTATCATATGTATGCTGATGACACTATTGTATACTCGTGTGCTCCTTCTCTGGATATGGCCGTTTCCAATTTAAAATCAGATTTTATCACGCTGCAGCATGCGCTTCTTGATTCTAAACTGCTATTGAACAGTAAGAAAACCAAAGCAATGCTTTTTGCTCCCAAGTCAGCGTCCTCCTCTTGCCTCTCCATTGACACCCTTGATGGCGTTTCTGTTGAGTTTGTTGATACCTACAAATATCTGGGCTTTTGGTTGGACAGTAATCTGAACTTTAAACACCATATTGAAGTTTTAACAAAGAAATTGAAATTCACTCTTGGCTTCCTTTTCAGATTTAAATGTTGTTTTTCAATTTCATCCCGTAAAAGGTTGGTCTTTGGCTTATTCCTGTCCCAGCTGGACTACGGTGATACCATTTATAGATTTGCCTGTCCCACTGTTTTGGCCAAACTTGACCCACTTTACCATGCTGCACTGCGTTATATATCAAATGCACCCTATAGGACTCATCATTGCACACTGTATAGCCTAACTGGATGGTCCTCACTTACTATGCGTAGGATGCAGCACTGGTTTTTATTAATGTATAAAGCCATTTTAGGTAAGCTTCCACTCTACATATGTGTCAGATTTGCCCCAGTTTGTGACTCTTACAAACTCAGATCCAGTGCCTGGATACGGTTCCAGGTACCTACTGTACGGACTGAGGCTGGAAAAAGGAGTCTTTCTTATTATGGTCCTTGGTCTTGGAATGACCTTCAATCACGCCTTAAACTGAGGGCACTTGTCTCTATATCATGTTTTAAATTGAAGTTGTCTGAAGTCCTCACCACCAGCTGCTCTTGCAGTAACAAGTAGTGTACTTTTTTTATTGTCCTAATGTGCACAATGTAGTGACTGCTTTTTCGTCTTTTGTTTTCTTTGTTATGTTCTCTGTATTTTATATGTTTGTGTTATGTGTTATGTGTAACGTTGCTGCCTTCTTGGCCAGGTCAGCATTGAAAATGAGATTTTATCTCAATGTTTTTATCTGGTTAAATAAAGGTTAAATAAAAAAAAATAAAAAAAATATTGCAGCGTGATTGACTTATATATTCTTGTTGCAGGTGGAGGGATATGCAGTGCAGTGTGAGTTTTCTCTGGATGGAAGTATCCTGGCCTCAGGAAGCTCCACTGGCTCCGCCCACTTCTACGATTACCACAACGCTCACATGCTGCACACTCTCCGCGCCCACAGCCAGCCCTGCCTGTGCGTTTCCCAGCATCCCGTTCTGCCGGCGACTGCAGCCACCTGCGACTGGGCCGGAGAGATCAAGGTCTGGCAATAAAGACTGAGAATGAACAAGTTAATATGGACTAAAGTAGGCCAAGAGAAGACTAACATCCATCTCCATGACTTTATCTCCTATAATCCCTTGGCATAAAATGATAAGAACTTGGCAAACAAATCTGGAAGTCAGCAGATCTACTGACGCTTTGAAAACGGTTTATTTTTTGTCTTACGATGCTCTGAAAACAATTCAAAACCACCCACATCTTTATTGTCATTGATTTGAACTGATCTTTTGTGTAAATGTTTTGTAAGCAATACGATTGTTTTGCATCTTTGGCCCATCTTGCATTGATTCAACTGAAAATCTGGGATAGACACACTGCTTGAGATAAAAGAAAGTTACTTGCGTGAGAGATATGTCTGCAGTGGTAGGCGGTGTTAAAGCAGTCTAGGCGAAACACACACACACACACACAAAAAAGCTAGGAACTTCATCATGTTCTTAAAAAGATCTCTTAAGGCCTTTTTCTAATCAGAAGTGTTTTTCAATCCACATTGTGCATACACATCACTTTTCTCTGTGCCTTTTTGTTCTCCCTGCTTTGGTATGACATGTCGTTTCACACTGACAGCTTAAAGCATCACAGAAAGACAACCTTTAAAACATTGCAGGTTCTTCCAAAATCCTGCCAACAACAGATCAGTGAAGTGCAGACCGATGCCTGTGATCTTTATTCAGTATCTCGGAGAACAAGCCTTAAAATACAATGTGCTGGTTTGTGTGTATTTCCCCTGCAGTTGTTTATACTGTAGTAATTAAAAGTTCAACTGACATTATTATTGTCTTAAAGGACCAACAGGGAAATTGTGAAGCCAAATTATAATTTACATAAATAGCTTCTGCCGTTTGCAGTACTACGGTCCTTCTTTGTGTTTTTGCTGGCTAGTGGTAATTAACGTTAAAACAATTAAAAAAAGATGAAACAATAAAGCTTCAAAAGACCAAAGAATAAGGTTCAAGACTAGCAACATACAAAAAAAAAATCAGGGTAAATGTTGGAGAGCCTTGAAGGAGAGACGTCTTTGAAGATGCTGCTGCCTCTTTGATATTCAACGGGTAAGTAACCAAGCTTATACTAACACATCTTTCTGTTTAAAATTAAACAATTAAAGTGATATATGTCTGTTTTGGTGTGAAAACTGTCACATAAGGGTATTCAAGATCGTTTGAGGAAATCTTTAGGGCAAATGAAATGCCAAAATCACCTACACATCTGTGAGTCTGGCAATTTTCATACAAATTCCTGTTACCAGCTTTTTAAACCCTTAAAATCAATAAAACTATCAAGAAAATGTTCACAAAGATTTAGGAAATGGCAAAAGACAGACACAGCAAACTTCAAAAATAAAAATCCAAAGGGAAAAAACCTAAATGTAACTCTTTCTCCAGCGAACCTCTGCTCCCTGCCTAAAGCTAACCATTGCGAAAGTAGGCTAGGAGGTGGAAATTGACGTATTTCTAAATTTCATGGAATTTTGGGAATGGGAAGCATTTTTGCGGTTGTCTAAACTTGCTACAATAACTTGAGGAAGTCAAATGGAATCACAACAAATGCTTTAAGGATTTTGAGAACTGTCCCGCCCTCTGAAACTGCAGATCAAGACATTTCTCCACTCTGTAGGATTTAAAGTTTGTGAAATAATATCCTTGGAAGTCCATGACGTATTTTCCAACAGCCGTCTTTATTATGTAAATAAACTTACAGCAAAAATATATAACCATGCATCAGACAGACACATATGTGGACATTTAGACAGCCGGCCTGTTGTTCCTGGAACAGGGCTGGAGGTAGAACAGGCAGCCTCTTCATTCAGGGTCAAAACATTCAATAAATATAACATCAACTGAAACTGGATAAAAAATAGTCATAGTGTAATAACAAGTGTGCATGTAGTATCTATATGTCTTTGTATACATCACAACAAAAATACCATATATCCTCTCAATCCCTCTGTACATTGGTTACATGAAATCAAAAACCTCTTAACCCATATGTGGCACAGTTTCACCTCCATAACATGCCAAGGTTGAAAAGAAGAGATGCAGTTTTGAAATCTTAAAAAAAAAACAGTATTAAGCCAGTTCCCAGATCCGCGGGGATGGGAGTGGAAGAGGCCTTCCAGACAAATCTATACGTTACTAGTGCAGGGCAAAGCTAGGTTCTCAATATTTAGCTTATCCCTGTCGCCATTCCTCTCAGATCTATAGAGCTACGCAGGCAGGAGGAACACCTTGAAGATGTAACATGCCACAGGGCGCACAGATGTTTTCCATCTATACTGACACAGATGGGAGCATGATTGTTGAGCAGCAAGTCAACCTCTCTGCAGCTCTGTATCTTACATCCTGTACATCTTTTTAATTTACCAACAGGACTTGCCACTTTCTATGTATATACACTTTTTAATTTCACAGTGTTTTCTCTAAATTGAGCATGCTGGTTTAAAAACAACACAGTGACTATACATTCCTTTCTTTTCACTTTCTGTAAACCTTTTTTTTTGCGAACATGCCTTGGGAATATTTCATTAATCCGTCCTGTAAACACGAAGACTTTTGGTTTGTGCAACTAGTCCTACATGTGTGTTTAAAGGTCCCCTATTATACTTTTTTTCAACAATATATTATAAGTCTCTGATATACAAAACATGTATCTGAAGTGTTTGGCTCGAAATACCCAACAGATCACCCATTGTAGCATGCCGTAAACCCCTCTGGTTCAGCCCCGTTCGAAAAGTGCTGATTCTGCATCTGTAGCTTTAAATGCTAATGAGCTGCTGCTGGCCACGCCCCTCTGTGAGATGTTTGGTTAAAAAAAACAAAAAACAATGGTGCTCTAGGAGGAGATTCAGGTGATAAGGTGGGGGGGTGCTACCTTGGTTGGTTATTGGCTAATGGCTCATTTTCAGACAGGTTTTTATATAGATGGATCAGGACAAAAAGAGAGAGGGAATATCTTTTCCTGAAACTTTCCAAATCTTTTAACACAGAGGGGACACATATTTATGTATTAAAGACATAAAAGGGTATTTTGCATAATAGGTAACCTTTAAGAATTTCCGGGGTCGAAATTTGGCTGCGTGTTCTCAACTCTCCGAAAGGGTTTACAGTAAGCTTAATTGTCTTTGACTAAAAACAAATGTCAATGAATATCTCCACTGAAGAATTATCCTTAATCTAATAATGGACTTAATCCTTTTCCAAGAAAACTTAAAGGTGGGGTAGGTAATTCACTTCAGAAACATTTTTGGTAATATTCCATGGAATGCTCTTAACATCCCGATAGCAATGAATAAATTAAATGCTTTGACAATAAATATATACAAATATTTCATCTGTGGAAGCCGTGGCGCTGTAAAAAGCAAGTCCAATTATCTGATAGCTGGATGGCCTACCTGCCTGTCAGCCTTCCATCTCGTGCACAAACTTATCTCGTGCCCTCATTGGTCATGTGCGCGTTCGTGTGTGTTGGAGGAGGGGCTCTGTAAGAAAGTCTGAAGGAAGGGGCAGATTTTTTTCGGTTGTGTACTTTCAAATTCTAGCGCACTCGAGCTGGTTTCTCCATTCTTACCTACCCTACCTTTAAGTGTGTTATGACAGGAAGAATAGACGCTGTAACAGTAGAGTATACGTACATTAACAATAGAGCAGATAATACAGTATGTACAGTTATTGTAAAGGAAACCGTTCTGTCCATTGAACAGGATTAAGGCAATTTCACAAGTGTCCTGGTATGAGGGTAACTACTAATCTTTATAAAAAAAATCTGAAAAATCAAGCTGAAAATCTCACAGTTCTGCTTTATCATTTATTTTGTTGTTCACCTGGCAAACAATTGTACTTGTACCTTAAACAATATTTATTTTTGGACTATTTCTATGCTAAGTTTCCATATGAAGAAGTGACACATTTTGCATCAAGAATCTCTTGCAATCTAAATTGAGTGTCTTGCTATTAACATTAAATGTCTTTTGCATAAAATACTTTAGTTTAGTTTTTCTAATATCTCTTGTTTAGCTAATTTAGAAATAGTAATACATCTTCCTTACCACTGAATAAGTGGAGTTTGCAGATAATGTCCCCATGAGAAACAATTAAGCTGGAAATTAGTGTTTCTTATCTTATTTATATGCATAATACAGCATGCATTTTGTTTGAAATAGAGAATGAAAAAGTTTTTTTTTAACAGCCTGAAGTCAGCAGGGTCCACAATACATAATGGATAACCTTCCTTCTCAAAACATGTGTAATTAAGTCACCCCATTGCACACGCTTTAGTCCATTATCTATACTGTACTATATTAGAGCAGGAATTTAATGGTCTTTTGCTGGTTTTACTAACAGTTCTTAACACCAAAAAATGTAAAAGCAAATCGCACAGTACGTTGTTGTTGCCTGGGCTGTGTTGCAGAAATCCCCAGTCACTTTAATTATCGGTATTGTCATGAAACAGAAAAAAGCTGGTTTCAGGTCGCTATCATCACATACGATAGAAAAAGTGTTGCAGACTGAATGAAACGTGCCTTGGCTAAGAGTTACATAAAACACCAACAACCTAATTCCCCATCACACCCAGCATGTGTTTGCTGCAGGGAACTTGTGAGACATACACTACAGTAAGTGAGGAATCATCATCATCATCATTATCATGCATAAAAGGAAAATCTCCCCTCAGTTCAGTAGTGTACCGTACAGCTGGGCCTTGGTCAAACTGTCCTTCCTCGTCAGTCCCGTGCTGCCAAATTTTTGGTATCTTGGAGAGGTCTTCTTTGGGAGTGCGGGGCCGACGCTGAGGGCGGAGCTGGAGCTGGGGCGAGGCCGGACACTGGGCCGGGGGGAGGGGTAGTGCTGAAGACTGGAGGCTTCCAGGGAGCTTTGGTGTAGGGACTCTGCTGTGCTGTTGGCGCTGCTTGCCGCCTTTGCTCCCCCACCGCTCTCCTTCTCCTTGGAGCTCCCTGAGAGGAACAAGCTGCCCTCGGAGTCTTGACTGTCCTCCTTGGCTCGGTACAGCATTGTGTTCTCCTGCTTATGATGCTCCATGGGTTTTGGGCTGCGGCTGGGCGAAAGGGGGGCCACAGTGAAACACTGGTCCAGCACGCGGTTGTGGAAGACGTCGTCTCCTTCCTGGAAGCTGCTGTAGAGAGACCCCTTGACCTTACTGGAGGGGCCCATGGCGAAGTGGCGCTCGGAGGAACTGAAGGGAGAGGCCCGCCCTGCGACGTTGCGGTAGGAAGAGGAGAACGTGTTGATGTCCTCCACGCTGAGCTGCCTCCAGCGGCTGCTCAGGTCGTCCTCTGGGACCGGGAGGTCCCCTCTGTTGTCCAGAGCTCCTCCACGAGCCTGGCCCAGTCCGGTTGTGGACCCCATGCTGTGAGAGGAGGCCAGGCGAGGGGTGCTGGAGTGGTACGGCTCACTGATGCATGACGCCGTCCTGCTGTACCCCGGTGAGGTGCCCTTCTGCGGGCTCCTTGGGATCGCCATGTGCTGGATGCTGAGGGACTTGGGGAAGCTTAGGCTGTCTTTATCGTAAGAGGACATGCTTTTGCGCTCATAATCCCCACTGCCACCATCTCGCCAGTCCATATAGAGACCCTGGTGGGAGGAGGACAAGGTGCTGCTGGTGTTGCGCCCACCACCACCAATAACCCCTCCCTTCTCGTCTGATGCGAGGCTGAAGCTGGAGTAGGAGCTGGAGGCCGGGAGGCTGCCAGTGCCGAAGTCGTCTTGTTGGTCGAAGGGGGATTGGGGCTCACGGTGGGAGAAACTTCCAGAGTGGTAGGCCTCTTCATCCGGGTTGCTGTCCGTGGAGTTCTGGGCGTGAAGCTGGAACAGCGCGGTGCCGTGGAGGTCGACGCTCTGCCTGCGCTCGGCATTTTGCCATCGCTCAGGGCAGTAGAGGGCCGTATCGCTGCAGTACAGGTCAGATGTTTTATAGGAAATACGGCGGTTCAGGTGGTCAGTGCTTCCTGTTGCTGTCAGAAAGTCTCCATCTTGTGGCTGTGGGCTGGGTGAGCGCGTTACCGGGCAACTGCTGCCTGGTTCAGGCTTTTCAAGGACCTTGGCAATCAGAGATGTGGGCACGGCGTCAGAGTAATTGGAGGAGAACATTGCAATGGTTGCTCCACTGCCTCGATTATGTTTCTCCATGTGGGAACTGATGCGTTCCTGCAGATCCACTGGCAGCTAAGAAAAACAAATAGAAAAGAGATTTAGCCAGAAAATATTTCAGAAAACAATCCCCAACTTTCTTAATTATTTACACAATCAACCTAGATCTGTTCATTAAACATATTCAATGCTATCTGTGCACTGAACGTGTGGCTAAAGTTATTCCTCAGTGATTTAAATCTATAGTCCTGGTGTAGAAACTAATTCATTCTCGCAAAGCTCACACAGTCCTGATTAGTTTGTCTATCTCAAAGGAATTGTGCAACTTGGCCCCTATAATGAAAATGTCAGAAAACCTCCGATCACAATCTGCATTTATCTGTTGCTTCCCTTTTCTCCCTACACAATCCTTATATCAATTTTGTTCTGTTTTCTTACATTAACTACAAAATAAATGTTTTGTGGACACACATATATATTTTCATCTTTCCAAATATGTATTTTTCCTCCTTTCTCCCATCTGAACCTTCTAGTTCTTTCCTCCGCTCTTGCTGTAACACACACACAACCACACACACACAACACACACACACACACACACACACACACACACACACACACACACACACACACACACACACACACACACACACACACCACACACACACACACACACACACACACACACACACACACACACACACACACACACACACACACACACACACACACACACACACACACACACACACACACACACACACACACACACACACACACACACACACACACACACACACACACACACACACACACACACACACACACACACACACACACACACACACACACACACACACACACACACACAGTTTGATTGGCTCATGTTGTAGAAAACTGTTCTTGTCAATTACAGACATGTTTCTTTGTGCCTATTAGAGCTGGTCCGGGTCACTATGAACTGTTTCTTCCACACAGAGTTTTCTCTTTTCTCCTCCCATTTGTTATCCTTTCATCTTCCTCCTTTTGCTCACTGCCTTCACAACTGAAAGGCCCTCATTCCCTCTCTCTCTCTCGTTCTGTCTTTCTTCTGTCTACCATCAAACACATATCAGTTCCACAGGGACCAGCTTAGATTCAAATTAAACCAGTGCTCTGGGTCTCCAGCTGGGAATAAAAATTAAAAAAGATAAAATACTGACTTGGCTTTGTTAAGAAATAGAAGCTCGCCGCGGCATAAAATAACCTGCATCTTTTAAGTCCGAGCTATTTTTAGCAGCCACTGCCTCTCCCAGAGGGAATAAAGATGGAAAATAGGTGAGGCTGTGGGGGGAAGCACAAAATGATATACAGTGTGAGCTAGCTCAGCGTTAGCTGCTATCTGAGGAAAGATGAACTTATTAGCCACTAGCAGTTTACAGCCATTCTGTGGAAGCTATTTCTTCAAAACACTTCACATTTTGACGAGATTCTACATTTCCAGGGGTAAATTATTTTGTGGAAGTGATAGTTTATAATACCAGAAAACAGTCTTTTTAAAACGAGAAGTGTCAGTTGTAAGCAATCAAGCACAACCTCTCCCTTTATCAGAGCCTCTCCTTAGCAGTGAAAGCTTACAAATAACACGTAGGCAATGGGTCCAATGGGTCTGTAATGTGATTAGCATTTACTGTTAGCCAATATTGGTCGCTTGTGACCACTGTGCCCGTTTTCTGCAATAGATACATAGACTTCCTCTACCGTTTACCTCCATCTTGCCTTCTTGTCCACCACTATGTATATTTAAAGGGGACCTATCATGCAAAATGCACTTTTGTACGTCTTTTATACATGAATATGTGTCCCCGGTGTTCCAGGGAACTCACCAAGTGTCAGAAAACACAACCCTCTCTATTTTCCTCCATACCCAAATCTCTAAAAAAGGGGCTGCAACGGATCTGATAAAAACTGATCCAGATTTGAACACTTTCCTGACGTCAGGACAGTGGCGCTACGGCTATTGGGCCAACTCCACCAATCAGAAGGAGACAGCCACGGCCATTGCCGTTCGAAAGCGCTGGAGACGCTGTAGTACATTATGCCAGGCCAGTAGATGGTGCTGTTCTCACAGACATTGTCAAATTGAGCAAAATGAGGCATGGCTAAAATGCATGATCTGTTTGGTATTTTGAAAAAAAAAGTATAAATATGCCTTATATAGGTATGGTCCTACACTATATTATTAAAATATAGCATGATAGGTCCACTTTAACAGAAACCATCTTTTTACAGGTTTATGAAGTAGAATCCCCTTTCATATACTGTATATATCCTCATAAATGATAACTGGTGCATATATAATGATTTAAAAATGTTTGATATGTATGCTGTGCTTCAATCTCTTATCAGCTCTGTTGGAGAGTATCACTTTATTATTATTTCATTCATTCATTATGCACAGCGGGCTGCAGACAGATGGCTCTTCAGACAGCAGACCTCCATCAGGCTGTCTGAAGAAGAGCACTGTGCCTTCATCCTCTCTGTGAAAACACTCACCAAGGCTTCTAGGGAGACTGCACAACATGGGACAACTCTCTCCATTACAGAAATAATGCATCAAGAACAAATTATAATACACTTAATATGTACAGGATAATTTCAGTGATGGATGATGTCGTTTTATCACAAGGCTCAGAGCTATAGCCACTGTGGCAATAGTCAAAAGTCCTCCCAAATACCTCGGTAAAATGAGTGTCATGTTGTTGATAATGGTTTAGATATATTTTTGGTTAATCCTATTTTCCAACATTAGTTTTAAAATGTTGGGGGGTGTAAAATGTGTCTGTGGTGATCTGATCAACTGGGTACTGGAGGTCCGTCCAATTACTCAGTTTGTTTATTTATTCTTTGATTAAATATGTCCTAATTTAATCAGGCAAACCATTTACAGGTTATAGGCAATCCTTTATTTATCTGTATTTACCACAGATTAACGGATTGTCTTGAATTCATATGAGGCTTAATGCTTATATTCCTTAAAGTTCCATGACAACATGTTTATTAAAATGTTTTAACTCCCCCCAGGTTATTTAAAGACTCAGCACTCCCATAATAAATACAGATGATATGACCTTAGTGTTTGAGCTGCTTAATATAGACCAAGACACAAATAAATAAGTATTATTTAAAATGTTACTCAACCAAATGTAAAATCTTGGCACTGAAAGCCTAAATGGTTAAAAAAACGAATTTCAATTCCCAAACAGTTCCGCTTTTTATTGCAGCACAGATTGAGTGTACACTTTGATGCAGTGGCGCTCACCTCAGACATCTTGTGAGAGCGGTAGTGAGACTTGGAGCACTGCAGCAGCTGGGCGGCCAGGTTGCAGTCCTTCCTGTACAGATCCTGGAAGACGCAGAAAGATTATATATTCACCAAATGATGCTTTTAAAAATCTTTATCATTATGGTTGCCGGATGGTTCAATAAGCTTTTGGGGGAATTGTGTAAGAGATTACAGCCAGGAGCATTATGGTAATGAACCGTGATACAATTACAACAGCAGATCTAAAAATAAATGTATCAATTTACTATTAATGAGGTATTTATACATTAATAATGGGTAAGGGGGAAACCAAACAAGAACCCTGGCATGTATGGTTTTAATTCTGACACAATATAGTAAAGCGTATAATATGCAGTAGACATAATGGGCTGTATTCCATTGAAAAATAGGACATGTAGCCCGCTGGATTAGCCAATTTACTGATTTAGTGAACCGTCAAATCAAAGGAAGAAAATCATCCATTAGAGCTGGTGGAGCTTAATTAGTGAGCTGGTATTTTTCACCTTGGCTTTATTATTTCACTAGGTTGACATCAGGGGATTACAGGATCTTATTAACTCCACTGAACTTTTTCATTTGTAATATATCTGCCCAATTCAGTCTAATGTTATTATGCATTCACTTATCTGCAGGCTCCAGCCTAGGAAGATAGAGCAGCATTATTTATCTCCTTCTCTGTATTTTCTCTCTATTATGGATGGTTGTTGGATATTTACTTAAATGTTAGATCAGAGCGAGGATGAATTGTTTTCAGTTTTTCTGAATGAATGCTGTGTGGGTGGTTAGCCGTTTGGCTCTCTTTCTATTCTACTCCCTCCTCTCTGAAATCCTTCCTCCTTTAAAGGTCACTTCTTGGTGCAGTGTAGCTCCCCGGTGCCTCCATCACACCCCGGCCCTGACAATACCTCCCCGGACATCAGAGCCTCCTCTCTGACAGTTTCAACTCCCATACCAGTTAACAGTGACTGCTTTTCTTTTGGCACCAGGGGACGTTTGGTGTGGAGTATTTGCTGTGGAGATGCAAAATAATCCTTTGAGACGTTAGTGTTGTTTTAGGAAACGTGAGTTGAGTTTCTGCTGCTGATTATGTGAGGTCTTATGATGATTAGGTCTTTACATACTGTATCATTTATTTTAAATGACTATTTAAGTAATGCAAATGTGGCTTTTTATAAACCATATTCATGCAAACTGATAGCCAGAAATAAGCATTTTGCATTGTTTTGCGAGTCTTTTATGCAATTTTGCCTTTTCATGTTGTCTTTTATGTTTTGCAGTGTTTTTTTTGTCTGTTTTTGGTTGTTTTGCAACCCTTTCTAAGTTGTTGATTGACTAAAACTAAGGCTCTGGCCTTTAGACCCTCAGGTTTGGACCTGAAAGATCACTTCAGTAATCCATCCATAGTAATAATCTATTGCAGATTGAATGGTTTATCACAGAAGATATTTTATTCAACATGATGCATTTGTTTTTATCATGTCAGGCATGTCACATTAGAAATGTGATTTATTTTTATTTCATGTCATACGCAGTTAATTTAAAGCATGCTCTCTTGAGAAAATGCCTTCCCTGCTGCCGTCTCTGATGCGACAAATTCTGAATGAACCTTGACTCAAATCAATCTGGACCAATGCGGGGGGATTGTCAAAAGACTATATAGCTCAGAAATTCTAAAAACTGCCATATACCATAGTGAGACATCTAACCTGACCTAGAGCCCCTAGTAGAAATAGCACTTAAATCACTTCAAAGAAAATGAGGTACCAGATAGCCAGATGCCCCAGAGCTCAGATCCACAGCACCGGCTCCAAACTCAGCAGCCCGAGGGTGCCCATTGATTTCAGTATAATCACTATAACACACCCAGTAGCTTATAGTTAATTCCTGCTGTGGCTCCTTGAAGCACAAATACTCAGGAAGTTGCAGAAAGACAGTGGATAAGAGACATTGTGGGTTAGTGGGGAAGGCTGCCAAAGTGTTTCCATCAGGAGAAACAGCTTTTGGAAGAGTTCTCCGAGTTCAAGAAGTGCTATAAAGGCTTTAAAGACCGGCAAAGGACAGCAACCGCCCTTTAAGGTCCTTAATGCCCCTGGCTGCTGCTGAATTTGTGGGCTTGAAGGTGAAATATATTTTGGTCATGTCCTCAACTGAAGTCACGTCGCACACAAAAGGTTCAGGTTTTGTACAAGTGAGCGTTCAGGCACAACGCTGACAGAGGTGTCAGCAGGAGCCAATATAACATGATGTACTGAAACTCTCTGTACTCACGTTGTCCTCTCTGAGTTTAGTGATGGTGATCTTCGCCTCCATGAGGTGGTTGTTGAGGAGGATGATTTCCCTGCTGAGGGCTCTCTTTTCCTCTTCATGGTGCTGGGACTGCAGTGTAAGAGAAAAAGGGTGGAAAAGAGGAGAAACAAGGATGTTAGAAATAGACCGAGAAGATGATAAGAAGGGGCTTAGATAGAGTGTTGAGATAGCGGGAGAAAGATGAGGGAGCCAAAGTTGGAGGAGCATCGGGAAAAAAAATTGATGATGGAAGAGGGGAAGAGAAATGAGAGCAAGAGGGCCGTGAGTCACTATCAGGCGGAAGCCGATGCCAGCAGCAGGTCTTAATTAAAAGAAGATTACACTTGCCAGTGCTCATATCATATCAATTACTCTGGGAGGAAGAGAACAAGAGGGGGAGAGAAAAAGGAGAAGAACAAATAAAGGATAGAGTAAGAAAGACACATGATTTTTAGTGATTACTGTCGAAAATATTCCAAATGACCCTGGTGAAGTGACATCTCATCCCTAGTGCCAGCGTAGCCTGTTGATGATGTCTTCTGGTCTTCTGGTCTGTCTTTCTGTTGGCCCATTTTAATCTCCACTACTGTTTGTTATCTGGCCCGGACATTCATGGTGCCCTGGGGATTATTCCTAATGATCCTGGTGCAAGTCACAAATATGTTTTATGGCAAACAATAGCATCAAAGAAAGAACCCTGCTGTACAGAGTATAGTCTCTCTTAATGTCTGATGTCTCTTTTTTGCTTGTTTCTCTCTCTAAAAGACACATCAGGCTAAAGGATCTACTGTACACAAGAAACTAATTCAACAGATTGATTAAACATGTTCTTGCTCCTCAGAGGATAATCAATTTCCATTTGAAAACACTATGAACTTTCCTCTGGCATCATCCTCAGTTTAAAAAGCTATAACTTTGCATTGCAAGCAGGATATCATAAAGAGGACATATATGGTGATTTCAGGTTCATATTATTTATTGTGTGCCTTACAGTGACATGTTTAAATACTTCAATATTAAAAAGGTATTTATTGTTCTCATACCACCTCTTTTCACCCTCTGTCTGAAACCAGAGCCCAGTCTACTCTGATTGGTTAGCTGGCCAACTATTTTGTGATTGGTCTATAACATACACGTGTTACATAGTGATGTCACTATGTTACATAAGTAAACAAAGGAGTCTGATTGAGGCGTTTCAGGCAGGGAGGGAGCGTATGAGAGAGAAACTCCCCCTGGGGTGAACTTTGTGATTTTAGCCTTTGCTGACCATTTACTTGCACAAAAACCTATAAACACACCAAGCGAAAGGGAAAACCCCAAAAAGCATAATAGGGCCTCTTTAATCCATAATGAACACACTGTCAGGGCCTCAGCTGAGATGCATGTTCTCTAGGAGATAAACTATTTTTATTTCAACAAGTCCTCCAACTCATACGACCAAATAGGTAAATTGTTCAAGCGCTTATTACGACCTATAATCACGTTTTAAAGTTTTCGACCTCTAGTGCTCCCGTTGACTGCAAACGCTACGGTGGGTCTTATATTAAAAAATAACCTCTCTGAAAAATCCTAAATTGTACGATAGTTTGGCCATTAAAAAGCTTTTTGATTATATTTCTAGCGAGAAGTGTATATTGTACTTTTAGAATCCAGGTCCAGTGGATGTGTAGGATCTATAGTTTGATAGATATTACGAAGATTATTTGAGGTCTCGCCAGGAGAACGTGTATATACTACGTCTTTCCCCCTATTAATTCATGTAAAGTTAGCGTCAACCCTCACGGGGTGAAAACAGTATTTTCGGTCTCGAAGTTTTCATAATAAAACCGTATTCCCCTCACTGTCAAATGATTTCACAGTGATATCTGCCGTACTCATCCACTAAAACACATCAGTTTATCCTTGTTAATTACACAACATTGATTGGTTTAAATTGTGTACACTACTTTTGTGTTTTTCCCTTTTGATTCTGAGAAACACATTTCTTTTATCAGAGGTTTTGATAGGCTAAAACATCGAACTACCCATAATCCTCAGCTATCGTTGAAGCTCGGTGATTGGATGTTTTAGCCGCAATGCAGGTTGGGATATGGTGTTTATGCGATGTGAAATCCGAAAACATTTTTAAAAAAAAAGAAGAAAATAATACTTTATTCCGCGTGTTCTTGCTTTTCTCTTTGGAAGTCATCACATAACGGCATTGTAATACACGGTTCGGCTGCATTAAATATTACACATCTGCCGTAGTTCTCTATTTATAGAGCCCTGATTAGAAGACCTTTGGACAAACTGGAAGAAATGCCGCCGAAACTGAATATGTGACGTGGATCATAAATATATCAGCAATTAAACAACATCTTCAATTTCTCTTCACACAATACGTCTCCTTGCAGTCAATAGCAGAGGTGTGGACTCGAGTCACATGACTTGGACTCGAGTCACATGACTTGGACTCGAGTCACCAATTTGATGACTTTGGACTCGACTTGACAAAATCACAAAACACTTGCGACTCGACTTGGACTTGAACACCAATGACTCGGGACTTGACTTGGACTTGAACACCAATGACTCGGGACTTGACTTGGACTTGAACCTTCTGACTTGAGGTGACTTGATAATTTATTTCGGGGGTCTCCAACACGCCGATCGCGAGATGCTGCAAGAAGAGCAGACTCCAGTCGGGGAGAGCAGAACCTTCAGCCGCTCCAACTCTTGCTGTGAATCCATGCAGGCAGGGGCGGGACTTTATTTTGCTGAGCCACCATGCGGCCAATCATATGCGAGGACACACTAGGATCATACCATTATGTGAAAGAAGGGTGGGGGGCAGTTTCTTACACGACCACTAGAGGTGCTAAACTTTAAAACGTGACTATAGGTCGTAATAAGCTGCTGAACAATCAACCTATTTGGTCGTTTTTTGGAGGAGGACAGGCTGACACACACACGTACACACATACTCCAAACACATTTTGTTTTTGTAAACCAAGGTTTTCTGATTCTGATATCTCTGCACTACAACACACACACACACACACACACACACACACACACACACACACACACACACACACACACACACACACACACACACACACACACACACACACACACACACACACACACACACACACACACACACACACACACACACACACACACACACACACACACACACACACACACACACACACACACACACACACACACACACACACACACACACACACACACACACACACACACACACACACACACACACACACACACAGCTCTGAGCACTCGCCTGGCCTTCCATCGTTCTCTCCTCTAATCTCTCGATGGCGGTGATTGTTTGGAAATAGCGAGGTGCAGAGCCAATCTAATAGGTGGCAATTAATGTCAATTTAAGCGAAAGGCCAGGATTGATATTCAAATCCAATTCTGCAAGGATCTCATTAATCAGCTGATGAGACACGCAGCTTCCTGGGACTCTCTCTCCAGCTCATTACTCTGGATTGCTATCCGTGTTTTCTGGCGCTGACCGTGCGTACGACCACATTAGGGCACTTTAAGGCTCAGATATGTAATTGCTCCATGTTCGGTCTTTTACATTACATGTCATTTGTTAGGCGCTTTTATCCATGACACAACGACATGCTGACTGCAGTGGGACTCGACTTGCTATCCCCTGATTTGAAGTCCAGCACACTATCCACAGCCTCCGTCTTTGTTACAATATGTTTTATTGGATGATTTCTCACTCATATGCTTGTACTGTAATACTTTGGTCTTATGCAAAGGATAATACAAGAGTGAAATATAAGAAAAAAAATCTTATATCACAGTATTAAGGCAAAACTGTGGTGCACATTTGAAGTAAAATAGTCTGCTACTTTGAAGCCAGACATCATTTTTCAATAGACTTTGAAAACTTTCCGGTAATCTCTTAGATCTTCCAACATGCTGATGCTCCACTTGCCGTGATTACAGGCAGTCTTTAAAACAGAGTCTACCTATAGATTAAAAAATGACACAGAGGGCAATCTTGATTGGCTTAATTTGATGAACATGATCTTGTACTGTACTTTGGAGAGTGGGAGGAAGAGTTATTTTAATTACAGCGTTATGGCCAGCGGAAGAATCACAGCTGTGCTGCACGCTGAATTTTGTTATCTCCTCCAGTCACACCGAGTTAGATACATAGGCTGTACCCAAAGACTGTGTTATCAGTTGGTGCCACACATATAGGAGAACAGCAACACGATAAATTAATATGCAAATTTGGATCATATCTTAAGGAGATTGACCCAGTGGAGGAGAGGGGTATTATATCCAAACACAAGACAGTTTGGGGCTCACTTCGCCTCCTCTTTGTCTTTCGATCAATGAAAGCAAGTTTCTTCTCATTCCTCAGCAATTACATGATATTGAAGACAAATATACTGACTCAGCTAACCAATGAGACAGTTCTCTCCTCTATATTGCAGACAAGAAAACAAAACTTATAGAGCGTTTTTCAATTATTGATCAGGAAGATTTCTTGAATTGAGTGCACATTATATAAAAACCCCACCTTCCCCCAATTAGTTTTACATATTCTGCTGGAGATTCTCTCTCTTCACTGGACAACAAATGAAGCCTAAATCCCTTGAGATACAATTACTGAAGACTGCGGCTCATGCAGGCGAGCAGAAAACTCCACTTCAGTTAAACGCAATCCTATTTTGTGGGGGGGGGGAAAGCAAAGAAACAAATGATATTTTCTAACCTCATTAGAGAGGATCTTCAAATGGAGATACCAAAGATCAGATACATTCCTGAACAAAGCAGGATATAAATATTGTGGGTAAAAAAAAAAAATCAGAAACCAGGGAAACACACTCAGTTGACACCATAGAGGCAAAAGAGATGGACCCTGAAAATAGTTAACTTTAACAAATCAATAAACCTTTCTCATGTCCAAATATGTCCTGCTTGCAACTACAGTATGTTATAAAAAAGTAAACGTAACTGGCTAGGGATGAATTTAAAGTCGACTCCTAGAAATGCCATGTCCCTGCATGTTTATAAAGTGTGCAGAAACACTGTTATGTAATGAAAAAATACAGTATATGTCACATGCATGGTAACAAGTCATTTAATTAGTCCCAATGGTTTTGCACTATAATGAATGTTCACATCTGCTAATTATTCCCTGCTTTTCTGCTGCAGAGAGAAACTATTTCTTGTATGTGCATCACATCTGCTTCCGTCACTATGGTGATACTCTCCTTTGTGTATTTTGGTCTTTTCATTTAAGAGTGTAGTGTAATTGTTGCAGCGGTGGCCTCAGTGTAGAACAGAGAGAAATAAAACACATTCATACTAAAAGAGAGGCTTCACACACATGTTCCTCACTCAGCAACAAGGATATGATCCCTCCAACACCTTTCACACAGGTAAACATAAAACAAGACATTATTTGCTATTTGGCCCATCTTAAGGAAATTAATCCATATCGGCAAAGTAATTCAATGTATAATTTAAGTAAAGTAAAGTACATAACTAAATGGTTACAAGTCTTAATTATTTTTTCGAATGATTATTGTTGCATCTGTTTCTGCTCGAGACCAGAGGATCTCTAATATGATCAATAATTGCTAATGTGCTGCTTCTTCAGATTTGTTATTATATTATAACGGGGACAGGATTTCATGAATGTTTATAAGTACACAGCGCCACAGTGTTAAGCGGTGCCACTTCCTGATGAAGTGCCTATTAGCCTTATTAGCAGGGCAGTCGTTGAGTGGGACCTTGGGTTCCTGCCAGATTCAGGGCGGCTGTTAGTCAGCTGACCCTGCCAAAGACTCACCGGAGAAACAATGACTTCCAGCACCTCGGACAGCTCCTCCAGCACTACAGTCCCACAATCTAGTGGCAGAATCGCATCCCATATCACATAAAAAAGCCTATTATACAACTTCAAGTATAAGTAGGAGTTTTATTACTTGTACTTTATTACCGTCTGGTCTTCAAAATGTCATCTATTTAAATGCAGTGTGTATACTTTGGCCAACAGAGACAAAAAGGCTACAGTACCTGACTAACAATTGTATGTAAATATGTCCTTTCAACTTCAGCGGCACTGTCTGAGAAGTGGCACAAAGTTTAATTGAAATTCTTTTTAAAACCGTCTCACAGGCACCAAGCTGTAGCTAGTCTGTCACTGACATTGCAATACGTTTTCTTGTAGTCCTAATATTCCGTCTACACAAACAGCTTCATCTGCAGCTCCGTTTTTCTACTGATCAAAAAGCGGAAAGTTACTACAATGTCATCTCGACGTGCGTCCGTCACTTCTTCCAGGTGTTAATCTCATGCTCTGCTTTCTAGGAAATAGTTTCATTATTCGCTGTTTTCCAGTGACCTTGTCAGTTCAGGGCTTTCAGAAATTATTTAATTACATGTCTGATTTCATTTGAGCTCCCCTCGTCACTGTCTGCCTGCCTTTCTTCTACAAAGGAACATATGTTCCCCTTGAAATGCCATCGCATGACATGACATCAAAATAAGTGGCAATCCCAATGAGCCTGCCTCAAAAAAACGATTCATATACTGTCTTCTGCCATGAAGACCGATTTGCTCTCTGTGAGACTCTGTGAATAATTTTCACATGACTTGAATACAATGATGTGTGTGTGCGTGTGTGTGTGTGTGTGTGTGTGTGTGTGTGTGTGTGTGTGTGTGTGTGTGTGTGTGTGTGTGTGTGTGTGTGTGTGTTCTGTATAAGAGAAATGATCCATGATGGTTAGGCATTTTAGGCTATCATTGTGTATACGATATAAAAAGCATTGTGATTGTCTGTATTCTGTACATACAGTACTGTGTTTCATGTCTGAGTAGATTTATGAAAATGATCACGCCTCACTGGTTTGTACTATGCAGAGAAATTCATCCAACAAATCTCGACGGCAAGTCCAAATGTAGCCGTTCCGAATGTTGTCACCATACATTACAAATGAATTTTGGTATCTTTATGCAATAATAAATTGACAATAGGACACGTACTGTACCTGATCTACCTTTTTACCCCCTAACGTTTTGCCTATTCCTAAAAACGTGCTTATTAAACGTAGGCTACTGTACATTGTTTGGTATGTGCATTTTATACATATTCAGACAGCATTCTGAAAATAACATATTGGTCTGAATATAAATTAATAGTTTTACTGGTGATTAGATTCAAAAGGCAAGGCTCATATTATACTGTATATGGACTTTGCTGAGCTAAACAAACTATCTCCTTGCAAATGCAAATACGTTTTGACAAATATGAGTGGCAATAATCTTCTCATCCATCTATTAACATCAAGGTGAATAAGAAAATATACTGAAATGGAAAAATATTCCTCATTTGCCGTTTTTGTTATAGAAATGAACAGGAGGGTACAGTAAAAGTCATCTGAAGCCTTTCTATACAACAATTCGCTGAAGCTTGCTATAAATATTCTAGCCACTTGCTGCTGGTTCAATACCTTCACTCGGTCCTCTTCCATTAGTGTGTGTGCCGGACAGACGAACCCTACGGATCAAACTTCTGATGAGATTAAAATCCTCTTGAATAAAGATACTGTATTTCATCAGAAAGGATTTTGGTGTAGAGCCGCCTCATCTCCTGCTCTGATTCTGGCTGGTAAATACTAAAACAGAGGCTGTGTGTTGGTGGGGGGGGGGGGCAATAAGGGGTCCTCTCAACCTGATGTGATTGGACAGCTACTGCTGACCAGATCGCAGTTAGCTGTAATAGTTTTAATAGAGGTTGCATGTCAGGTAAGACCAATTACTTTGGACATTGATTGCGCTCCCTGTCTTTGATCATGTAATTGCTTTGAGAGAGATGAGAGGGGTTCTGCAGCTAAACAGGTGTTCAGGTCGATTATTGTGGATTTCTCATTTCTCAGTTCAGAGAGGGAGAGCTGAGAGAATAAAGGTCGCCATCACTCTCACATTAACGGTTTGTGTTAGACTATAGTTTATCATTATGTCATTTATTATGATCACTGTATTTCAGGATGTGAAGCTTGTGTGTTTATCGTCAATTTGTCTTCCTTGACATTAAACTTCGGTTTGGCCCTTTTCCAGGGACTTTCCCTTTTAAAAGAGCCTAAGGCTTCTCAGCAAACACTCGTTTATACAATTATGTTTGAGTGTGTGGCAGACCAGAGAATAATGTATGCATATTTTAACAGCAACAGCAGCCCATGGTCGCCGACTTGACCAGATGTGCGACCAGATGAGCCCCCTCAAAATATATTTAGTTTAACCACTGAATGCATTCATTCAATTACAATCATTTGCAGTACATTTCAACTGTTAACATCCAATATACTTCTCAGCAACAGCATCACCCCCCGCCCCAACAAACGTCTGTCAGGTTAGGAATACTAGAATAACTTGTAGAAATCTACTGGTTAACTAGTGGTACCTCGCAAGTGCCTGAGGATATTCATCAATGCAAGTGCTGTCAGCTAAAGACATAGGCCATAACAAGAATCTGAACTACAATGCCATCAAAAAAGTCATGAAAAACACAAGTAATTTATATAAACAAAGTATCACATAGTATAACAGAATCATAGTATATAGTATGCTATCAAAAACTCAAAAAAACGTATTGTGAAGTGTGCCATTAAACATGTCATTCTAGACACGTTTAAAAAATAAATGCTATGCCATAAAAAATAAACCATAAAAAATGGTGTCATAAAAGTCGTGCTTTATTATTTAAAAAAATAAAGTGTTGAAATTAGTTTTAGGTAGTACATGTATATTGGACATACATTCACTCTGATCTTCTTACTAAATGTCAGCAGTCAGAGGACGGTTAGCTCACATCCGAGCGCTCGCTCTATACCACAGGATTTCACTTAGGGACCGTCAATACATTACCGTTTGAAACACAAAACCAATGTCATGTGACCCAGTGACTCCAAATTAACACAATATATATTTGCAACACAGGACAAATAGAACACTCACCTCTTTTTACTTGATTTTAGTGTATTTTATGTTATTCATATCTTTTATAAATATGGTGCTTTTTTAAATTTTGTCAATCGTTTTCATGTCATGTGACCCAATGAATCAATGCAGCATTGTTTTACTAATATATTTTAATGACATCAAATGAATGACACTTTGATAAAGGTAGGCTACATTTACAAATAGTACAGGACAGAAAGGCGGCAAAAGAAGAAGACTGTGGCTGGAACGGAATTTTTTGATATTTGATGAACCTTAATTAAAGGTCCCATGTCATGGCCATTTCTACTGATCATAATTCCATTGTTGAGGTATACTAAAATACATTCATATTGTGCAATTTTCCAAACTCACATTGGTTTCTCATACAGCATCTCTGTATGTGTATTCACTCTCTGTCCTAAACGGCTTGTTGGAGCTCCTGCCCTCCCCCTCCCTGTGAGCCCAGTGGCCGTCTGCGGGACAGCGAGACACAGCGAAACCCAGCCCGAAACACACACACACACCCGCAGCCTGGCTGGGAGTTTGTGTGTGTGCCCAGGCTGAGTTCAGCTGTGTCTCGCTGTCTCGCCGACCCCACACCAGTGAGCCAGCTCACAGTGTCCCGCTCCTCGCAGCAGCGAGCCTCGCAACGTCCCGCCGAGTGTGTGTGTGAGAGGAAGTCCGCGGATTGTTCCAAACGTAACGGCTCCGCGGACGTAACGTAGCGGCACGTCACTATACCCGAAATACGTCACTATACCCAAGAAGTAAACAATGGAAAAAGAGAAATCCCCAACGAGGCGTTCTGGGGCAGCATAGACACGTCTTCTCTGTGTTAGAGTTTTACTCGCTACAGGGTGTACTTTGAGGGTTTGTGACTCTGCAGACCGTTTACATGCATAAAAAGCTACATAACACACAAGGGGACGGGTAATAACCAGAAAAGCATGACATGGGACCTTTAAATGTTTTTTTGCAACTGCTTTTTACAAACAAAGATGTGATTTTGGTTCATTTTGTGACCGATATGACGATTATAGCGTTGCAGATTTAAAAATACCCGGCAGCAGTCTCTTACCGTCCTGTGCATCTTGTCCTCCAAATCCTGGTTGATCCTCTGAAGAGCTGCATAGCTGCTCTGGATCCTGAAAGAATAGAGAACAATAACAACGTCTGTTTTAAATACAATCCACAACACATGATGACTGAAGAGTATTGTACTGTTCACACAGCTCAATAATCTCCACTTTAGACAGAGAAATACATAAATAACCACATCAGGGCACTGACAAAACACCTCAGATGGGATTTAAAGGATATTTGAAGTACTGACTCAGATTTGGAGATCACTCAAGATAAAATCTGCCAAGCCAAAACAAAGTAAAAAGGTTTGATGATATATTTAAGCGCCACATCAGGAGATATTAAGAAAAATATGTTCATATATAAATATTTTAAGGTAGGAAATTAGTAAACATACATAATCAAACGCTTAGCTCTAAGGCTGAAGACAAACATGTTTATTTCTCTCTTGTATTTCTCCTTTGAATTCGTTCATCACTGTTGCTCTTTGGGAGACTTCCAGCACATAAGTGATCTTAATGAAACAGGTCCTCGACACTCCATTTGTTAACTTGTTCCTGGTGTTTTTATCATGTCACCTCTCGGTTCAGTATCACATTTTCACATTAGCTCTGGGGCCTTAGAGAGTGTTGATAAACCAGCATTTATGGCTCTATTAACCAGACAGATATGGAGAGTGTGAGCAGTGGAGACAAAGAGCACAAATAAATCATTAAATGAAGACCTGAAAGAGATGTGAGAAGACTCTGACAAAGCGTACATGAACATGAAGGAGTGGCACTGAAAGAGAGTGGTTCCCTGATTGATTTAGAGCAAACAAAACCGGCACATTAGCAACAACATCGAGCCCGATTACTCATTTCAGATAAGCTTTGAGATGAGTCTGAAAGGCAGCACTCTCCGTCTTCACTAAGCTCCACCAATCAGTGAGAAGGGTTGGAATTATGACGTAGGGTGTCGAGTTTGGGTTGTGCCAATCATAACAAACAAATATGGAATCTGTGAATAGCCTATAAAGATCAGTATCATTGCAAGAAAATCCCAAATGCCCCATCGGTCAGACGAAATCTGTCTGATTTCCAAAATTCCACAAAGAGTTTAAATTATGTTTTTAAAGCAAATTACCCATGCCCATAGTTGTACATTTGGTATTAAATCAGAGGACCAGAGAAAAAAGGGGATTTGGGGCTTCCAACAAAATTGCCAAAAAACTAATCATCGATATTTACAATATCAGCACATGTTAACGAGGGTAATTCAGGCAAAGTACAAAGTTACAGTTAAGGTTAGGGAGAGATTAGGGTCACATTAAATACGTTTGAATAAATATGTTTATTTTAGGAGTGCAACAAGGCATACATTGTGGTCTGCTGACCTTTGGTGAGATGCACTGAAGGGTGCCCACTACTTCCTATGTCGACATTAGTTGGAGGTGTGAAGTCATCCAATATGAACTTGATCACTTGGGATACTGGGCTGAAAATGAGGCGAGTACCACTGTCATGGCTTTTAATGACATGTTACAGCCTTTTACAACATAATAAATTCATCACCAGTTTCTTCCTGGAGGGAAAATTACAACCCATGCATACACAAGAAGGCAATCTACAAGGTCATGCACACAAACCTGCGTAGTTTCTCTGTAAATTTCTCTAGTTCCTCCTGGGCCCGGCGCAGCTCTGTCTCCAGGTACTGCCGAGTGGAGTCGAACTCCGTCTCCACCATCTCTAGTTTGTGGGTGGTGTACGACAGGCGCTTACGGAGGTCGTCCTTGTGGTCGTGTAAAGAGCTGAACATGCAGCAGGGAGAGTTCAGAGACACGGTCACAACACTGATGTACTTTCATTGCTGTCAAAGTGTGTCAGATTCATTGAGTCTGACAGAGAGAGGGGAAGAAAACAGACAGAGAGAAAGGCAATGGTCTAAAAAGTAAAGTGTGTGAGAGTAAGAAGGAGGGAAAAGGATGAAGTGTAGCCAGAGTGTGAGAGAGGTCCCAGGCAGGGGGAAAGCAGTGAGGCAGATGGGGAGGAGCAGATGGATGGAGGAAGAATACAAATCATTTCCCATTCACAGAGAGGGAGCGAGGCTGGGAAAAGAGCTCCCATCGGTGTAATGGTGAATCCCATTACACAGCCCCTGAAAGAATAGGAAAGGATTTCTCGCCCCCAGACACAGAGCATGGGTGATTCATAGAAGAACATATAGAATGGACTGCAGCTTTGTGTGTGAGTGAGCTTTAAAAGAGGGTGAAAGAGACACAAAGAGCATCAGAGAGCAGCGAGACGCAACAACAGCACTGTATCAACAACAACAACAGACCAGACAGGGAGCAATATTTCAGACACTCGAAGATTGTTTGAATGTGGGGAAACATAGCGACTGGGACGGACTTAGGGAATGGATGCGGATAATGAAAGGCTGGAGATGGGTAGCATGGTCTGTGTGCGCTCTGGGGGATTTAGCATTTTGCCAGACTGATGGGTAGTTGGCTCACAGAGAAGTTCAATGGCTCAGCGCTGCCAACCAGCAGCAGAGTGGGCCTCCAAGACCACCTCGACCCACAGCCTCAATTAGAAAGCTGGCAGCAAAGCAGGAGAAAGTCGTGTCCACAGAAAGACTTATAGACTGTTTTCTGTCAACACGAGGGATCGACTACCTTTTAATGTCTGTGTACTTGGGGGAAGATCTCCACTAATTAAGCCTTCATCAAGCCGTAAGTCAGATAATAAGGAGACAAGAAAAAAGATGTCTATAAACGTGGACCCTGAGGTTATATAGTAAATAAACGTGTGGGTGTTAAAACAGCACATGTTGAATTGTTACCATCATCTTTTAAATAGCAAAGTTTGACAATTGTCATCAATCACACTCCTGTATACAAAGCAAGTAAGAGTATTTACAAGACCTTATGAGTATATACTGTATATGTTGAACTGTTAATATTTGACAGACAGACAGATAGTTGAGTCATTGAAGAGTTTATGTATCAATCATGCTCCTGTGCTTGCCTGATGCTACAAGAGAATGAAATCTTTACAACCTCTCCGCTGCCTAACAGCTGCTCGCGGTGTTGTAAAATCAGACGGCAAAGAGCCAGGGAGCTACAGTATGTGAAAATTGCCCCGGAGCTCTTATCACTATGTAATGCCAGTTTAATTAGGTCTGAGCACAGAGCCATTGATTTTTCTTTTTTATGGTATAACATGTTGTTTTATTTTTCAGATGTATAGACTGTTGTTGCAGCACAGCGGTTTTGATGTAGATGTTAGCCGATACATGACAGGAGAAATGAAGATGAATGATGGGAATGACTAGATGCCTCGTTCTTTTTTTAATGGCTTTTTAATGGTCATGACCTCGCAATGAGAATCCATTTCCATTAGACACAATGAATGAAATGGATCCCCATATATGAGGCTGATGTTTAGAGATTAAAACAGTCCCCAGACTCACTCATCTTACCTTCTTTTCTGATGTTTGCAACCATTTCTCTGTGTTTTCAGGGCAGTTTTGCCAATATATATCTTTTTCATACTTTTCTCTCTGCCTCGGCTGTCATGTGTGTATAGTTGTTACCACGGCTGCTGCTGCTGGTCGCCTGAATGTTGAAGCCAAGTTTGAACTCTAACCACAAACCAACAGTCAAAGCTCTAAGTCTTGCCTGGGGAGGCAGATAGGAGTTGGCTATCTGTGATGACCCTGGCAAGAGAGCAGAGAAAAACAGCTTTGAAGTCCCAAAGATTTAGAGGCACATTTAGTTCTGTTGACTCCAGAGAAAAACACAGATTTAGGGTGCATTCAGAAAACGAGACATTTGGTTATGATGAAACGTAATAATGAATGAGGTAAATTCAGTGAAAAAACCTGGCGTGCAATATTTTTGAATTATCACACCAAAGATTAATGCACAGATATTTTTCCTATATAACTTTTACATGTAAGTTCTACAATATAACCAACCTTAGTAACACTGTTAAAGCAATCTACAACATCGAATGTCGAGTGATTCATATTTTGTATTGCTTTAGCCTTCTTTTTTATCGTGTACTTATCTCACATATCTCTCTTGTTGTGAGCAATTGAATGCTGTCACCACAAACTGCAACACCCTATGGAATAGAGAAGTATTGACCAGCTGACCATAAAGGTTATTCCTCAATCAATCAGTGATGTGATGAATGCGTGTATGTTTCCATTTCCATCGTTCACCATCTCTCTGCGGTGCTAGGGCTTGAACTCCGGTCGACTGCACGGTTAGAGCCTAATAACCTGTCATTAGCAAGCATGAAACAGCCGCATAAACTCAGCCACGCTAGTGTTTGCAGTAGAAGGTTTTAAGAGAAAATGAACGGGTGAGTATTACTATATTACTTATACTATTACTTTAAGAGCAAAACAATTGCCCCTGAGCATGGTCTGCTAGGCTATTGATTTCTGCACATGTTGAACTAGCCAGCATTTGGTAGTATCTTGGTTATACCTTCAGGAGCAATTTGGGAATTTGTATCTTTCCCAAGGAGAAGAGATGGGTTAGCATTTGTTTAGATGTTAGCTAACTGATCCTGATAAAACCTTATAGCATGAGTGTTCTTTTCCGTCATCTAAAGTCAATGGCTGAAATTGTGAAGCCTGCTTTTGTCTACTTCGTTTAAAATTGAAAACCAGTTTTGAATATTAAAATACTTTTAATGCTGAATCTGCCACCATTAGGACTGTAAATGTTATTATATGCTGAATGAAGAGGAAAAGCTTGAAAGGCATGGCAACAGTTACTAAAGAGTGGTGGGGCTTGTCAAACGGTCAAATTACCACCATAATCTAACTGGGGTGCAAACATTTTAGATATAATATATTTGCCTTTTAAACATGGTGTCTTGTCCTGAAGAGCCAAGTAAGCATAAATGAATAAATGCAGGCCAGCGGCACAACTTTTATCACCTCCCGCAGAGTGTCAGGGTAGCAGTTCAACGACAAACTGGAATGAATGTTTTGTCGCCCGCTGCCATTTTTAATGGCACCACCACTTATTATTTGTAATCTCTCTTCAACAGTGGCTCAGGAAACAATGGCAGTTTGTGCAAACATTGTTAATATGGTTGCAGTTTCTTATCTGCAAGTCACAGAGGGGGAGAGAGCGAAAGACGACAGAAGTAGCTGCTGAATTGGTAAGTAAGTGTGCTACTATAGAGTCCGCCCTCACATGCTCAGACATAAACACACACCTTCCTGCAGTGCACAGGAAGCACTGTAGCCTCACTGTATCCTAACACCTCCCACAGAGAGATACACATGAGATCTCGGTGCCTCAGGTGTTGTTTGGCAAAGTAAACCCACTTTCCACATGAAGGAACATTTCTGAGTCCTCAGAGAGCCTCATGATAGGCCCACTGCTGTTCCAACACTGCCAGAAAAACTCTAAAAAACAAAAGATATGTAAATTAAGCACACTTTCTGTTCTACAGAGTCCCCTCAAAGCGTTAAGAGGAGGCTATAGTGGGGATGCAAACATGAGTAAACCCTGTCTCCCTAAAAACTGTCCCCATGTGTTACATCTTGTCAAGAGGATCAGACAACGCACACTACAGGGAGTACAACAAAGTTTTGCCACTGCTTCAGAATATAACCTACTTTAGGCAGTTTCCGCCTCCCACACTGCCTGTATATGTTTTCTCCTCCATGGCTCCTACAGCAAGTGACTCCAATTTAATTTAGAAAAAAAAGCCTTAATGTGAAACCTTCTAAAGGTCAATACTAGACAGCATCCATTTTGGATCTACAATGGGGAGCCTTTACGGTGCCCGCAGGTTGATTTAGTGGTGCTACGCTACAGGAGGTGAGCAGGTAGTCACTGCTTGCCAGATAACATATTCACAATGACCAAATGAGGAGATTAAACTTTAATGGCCGCTGTGCCATCCCTCCTGAAGTCTGCTATTAAGTGAGGAGCTAACAGAGACACAATCACCATATCTACTTTGAACAGTAAACCTTCCTGTTCCAGTTTAGAGGATATCTCAGTAGGTGTTATTTATGTTGTTGTGGCCTTATCTCCAATGATAATAACCAACGTTATAGTGAGATGTGGGAGCAGAGAAGTCCGATGGGGCAAGAAAAGATAAGAGCTAATGGTAAACAACCACTAAACCACTTTCAACAAGTCATCCACACAACAAAAAGGTAGTTGTCAGTGCTTCCATATTGACTATGAATGTAGTGCCTCTATCTTTGCAGTATCAGTGCCTTCCCAGACCTTAGCAATTATCCAAATATCCAAGTATTGCAGTAGGAATAATGGACCAAAAAACTAAACTTAGACCTGGGTTGTAATAAACCAGATTAAAAAGAAAAGTATTATTATTATTAACGGTCTGAGACAAAATGCTGCGTTCACACCGGACGCGATGCGATGTTTGGGGGCGGCGCGATTACATGTAAAGTGCAGAGACACGGACAGACGCGAATTCACGGACAGACACGAACAGACGCGAATTCGCTCCGACGGCGAGCATGAAGCGGTGGACGCGGCGCGAATCACGCGATTGAGGCGATTGAACGGTGCCGCGTCAAACGCGAGTGTTCCATTTTTTCAACTCGAGCGTCAAATTCACGTGACGCGTTCTCGCTGAAGCCAATCAGCGGTGAGGATCTCAGCCTGCCGTCACTGACGTTCAACCAGAAAACATCAGCCGTTAGCTGTTAGCAGTTAGCACACAGAGCTCACAGCTCCTCATATATGTTCAGAAACTGGACAAAAGTTAAACAAGTACAAACCACAGACTGTCTGTGTCA